GGTGGAGGCCAAGACCGTCAGTAGTTTCAAAGCGTTATATGACAAAGAGTGCTGGGAAGACGGGACACCACGAGCATAGCTCTCATCCTGTAACTACACTTAGGTAATTACACACCAGCTAGCCCGCCACTGGCTGCCACTCCCTCCCTACCTCACCTCACATGACTCGCCAACCTTCTCTTCCCACCATACTTTTTTTTTGCCTTTATTCACTATATACAGACATTATATATATAAGTATCTGAATGTTTTGTTCACCATAGCGAATGACTAAGCTGGTATAGTGAGTCCAGACAGTAAAAGGTGGTCACACAGAGTCAGCAGACAACACTACCTCCCTCCCCACCAAGATTACTCCTCCCACTACAGCGCTAATTATCACAACAATCCTGCTATTATCAGAATCCTGGACATTTTTATCACAGTCAGGGGTCTCCTGTAATACTATCATCGCTAAATAATAGTATGTACTTATATATTTTGACATTTTTTGGCGATGCTGCGGTCACAAGCTGAACAGCAGTGCTGTGAGCTCATGTTGCGTGCGCCAACCTTGGTGGCTCACTCAGTACTGATGTCCTAACACCAGGGAATGTTGCCCACGATTTTTTTTTTTAAATCGCATCTGTTTACAAGAACCCTGATGAAGGTGAGGTGAACCCCGTGTATGTTTAGGAAAACACAAATTAATAAATGAGTCGCAACATGCTTTTACAAATGGCCGTTCATGTTTAACAAATTTGCTATCTTTTTATTCCAGCATAGTTGAGGCAGTTGATAGTGGTAAGGATTGTGATGTTGTGTACCTTGACTTTAGCAAAGCTTTTGATACAGTGCCACATGAAAGACTGATTAAAAAAATAGAGGCTCATGGTATTGGAGGTGAGCATGGCTATTCCAAAGGAAACAGAGTTAGTATAAATGGGGTTAAGTCAGAGTGGGAAAATGTTGTAAGTGGAGTGCCTCAGGGCTCTGTCCTGGGACCTCTGTTGTTTATAAAATACATCAATGATTTAGATTCAGGTTTGAGTAGCAACATTTGCAAATTTGCCGATGATACAAAAATCGGCAGGGAAATTAACACGGAAGAAGACTCACTTTCACTTCAAGTTGATCTAAATAGGGTTTTGAAATGGTCAAAGGATTGGCAGATGCAGTTTAATGCTGATAAATGTAAAGTTTTGAGGCTAGGTAATGATGATAGAGTTACGAGATACGAGCTAGATGGTGTTGAGATTGCGAAGTCGAATTGCGAAAGGGATCTGGCAGTTATGATAAGTAAGAATTTAAAACAAAAGGATCAATGCATGAATGTTCATAATAAGGCAAATAGAACACTGGGATTTATTAATCGAAGCGTTAGTAACAAGACACCTGGGGTGGTTCTTCAGCTATATCTTGCTCTGGTTAGGCCCCATTTAGATTATGCAGTTCAGTTTTGGTCGCCTTACTATAGAATGGATATAAATTCACTTGAACGTGTCCAGCATTGGATGACTAAGTTAATTCCCCAAATTAGAAACCTTTCATATGAAGAAAGATTAACAAAGCTTAAATTGCATTCATTGGAAAGGCGAAGAGGTAGGGGTGACACGATAGAGGTTTACAAGTGGATGAAAGGACATAACAAAGGAGATATTAATAGGGTATTAAAAGTATCAACACAAGACAGAACACGAAACAATGGGTATAAATTGGATAAGTTTAGATTTAGGAAAGACTTGGGTAAATACTAGTTCGGTAACAGGGTTGTTGATTTGTGGGACCAATTACCGCGTAACGTGGTGGAGGTGGGGTCCCTCGATTGTTTCAAGCGCGGGTTGGACAAGTATATGAGTGGGATTGGGTGGTTATAGATAGGAGCTGCCTCGTATGGGCCAATAGGCCTTCTGCAGTTACCTTTGTTCTTATGTTCTTATCCACAGGCCGTTTAAAATGTTGCGTAGTATTCCAACACGTTATATGATGTGATGCACAATTTTGGGTAAGTTACTCAACACATATGATGAGTTGCACAGTTTAAAGGGTTAAACATTGACCCTACACAGCAAGCACTCCATTCTATAACATATACTAAGAAAACCAATCGTCAATTAAACTATCGTCATGCGCTGCATGTAAAGTATTAGGAACCTGCCGACATCTATTGGGAGGTGCACTGGAGGCTTACACCTGTTTCAATCTATACTGTTGTCCATATGGTGCCAGTTAGGCCCCAGCTCATTGCACAGATCCCAACACCATGTATACTATATTTATATGGTTTTACAACTATGTACAGTTGTAATGAAGTATACCAGGTAAACCAATCATCAATTGAAACATTTCATTACGTGAATTATGTGATTTATCTACGAATTCAACACACATACACTTGTAAATAAAGAGAAACAAGTGATACACAATCAATGACACATCCAAGCAGAACACAGGAGTCATGTCTCATATACAGTGCTACCTCCACTTATGAGCTTAATCCGTTCCCAGATACAGGTCGTAACTCAAAAATTCGTAACTCAAAACTAATTTTTCCATAAGAAATAATGTAAACTGAATTAATCCATTCCACACCCCCGAAAATATTAACTTAAAGATAAATTTTATACCGAATACAAAATGTACTAGCTCTTTTTGTACCAGCTACAATACAGGATGTATATCTTACCGTCATTGAGGACTCTTGTTGGTGTATAAAAGATAGTGAAGAGGTGGGGGGGGGGGGGAAGGGAGGAGAGGTCTTACTATTTGGATGGAGAGTCCCCTTCCATTATAACATCAGACAGTGATGACTTCTCTGGGGTACTTTCTCTCTCTCTTTCTCTCTCCCCTACGTTTTACAGGCATGCCACTAGAACCTGACAGTGACTCACTGCTTGCTTGTCTTACTAAAAATCTGTCTAAAGACACTTGTTTTTCTTCAACATTTTAACACTTACCAGCGAGACATTACATTGTCATTTAGAAGATCAATGCAACGACCTGTATAAGCTTTATCTGGGCGAGTTTTGTTAATAAAATTTTCCATTTCTTCTCATACTTCACACATTTTCTTAATGAGGAAGAAACATTTTCTACTCTCTATACCCAACTATTTTCTTAGATTGAACCTTACCACTGACTTTCTTAGGACCCATGGCATAATATATAATAATTACTTTTATGTTCCAAGAACAAAAAAAAAAGCACAAAAACAATTAAGTTCTTTACAAGCTCGATCATCACTAACCGGGCGCTCGGTTGACCCATACGTGTATCAACAAAGTCGCTAGTTGAGGCAAAGATCGCAAGTCGAGTCACATTTTTCGGCGAAATTGGGGTCGTAACTCGAAAAATTCGTAAGGAGGGGCAGTCGTAAGTCGAAGTGACACTGTACCTCAGTGTCGGCAAAGTCAGCATTGTGTGCTGAAAGATGAAACACCACATTAACCACTGCGTAATCTTTCAGAGCGCCACTATCCAGTAAATAGGTAAATATTCATTTAATTTGGTTTTCCTTACATTCTACATACAAATTAATAATTCTATAATGACAAATTATATTTTGGCATTTGTTTATTTTTTTACCATAGGCTGGAATGACCATTTTTCCATAGGCATTGTCCAAGGGTTATAACCATATCTATCTGCAGGTTAAGCTGGGTTGTGTTAGGCTAGGCTAGGGTGTGTTAGGCTAGGCTAGGGTGTGTTAGGCTAGGCTAGGGTGTGTTAGGCTAGGCTAGGGTGTGTTAGGCTAGGCTGGGTTATGTTAGGCTAGGCTAGGGTGTGTTAGGCTAGGCTAGGGTGTGTTAGGCTAGGCTGGGTTGTGTTAGGCTAGGCTGGGTTGTGTTGGGTTAGGCTGGGTTGTGTTAGGCTAGGCTGGGTTGTGTTAGGCTAGGCTGGGTTGTGTTAGGCTAGGCTGGGTTGTGTTAGGCTAGGCTGGGTTGTGTTAGGCTAGGCTGGGTTGTGTTAGGCTAGGCTGGGTTGTTAGGCTAGGCTGGGTTGTGTTAGGCTAGGCTGGGTTGTGTTAGGCTAGGCTGGGTTGTGTTAGGCTAGGCTGGGGTGTGTTAGGCTAGGTGGGGTGTGTTAGGCTAGGCTGGGGTGTGTTAGGCTAGGCTGGGGTGTGTTAGGCTAGGCTGGGTTGTGTTAGGCTAGGCAGGGTTGTGTTAGGTTAGACTGGATTATGTAAGGATAGACAGGGTTGTGTTAGGCTAGGCTGGATTGTATTAGGCTAGGCTAGGGTTGTTAGGCTAGGTAGGTTTTAGGATTTGTTGGCAAAATGATCAGTTTGTATCAGCTGCTTGTTGTGGGGTCGCATCCTGGGCGGGGCCAGTATTTCAGCCAGGAGCCGGTCGGCTGAGTGGACAGCATGCTGGACTTGTGATCCTGTGGACTTGGGTTCGATCCCAGGCGCCGGCGAGAAACAATGGGCAGAGTTTCTTTCACCCTATGCCCCTGTTACCTAGCAGTAAAATAGGTATCTGGGTGTTAGTCAGCTGTCACGGGCTGCTTCCTGGGGGTGGAGGCCTGGTCAAGGACCGGGCCACGGGGACACTAGAGCCCCGAAATCATCTCAAGATAACCTTGGGAAAGGGGGGTGGGAAACCTTGCTATAAGCTAAAATATGAATGAATACCCTCTGGCTGCCTGTCCCCCGACACAATGATTATTATAATATTATCTTGACCAGTCAAATGTCCATCCCATGCCCTAAACTATTCCCTTGCCAATCGAGCATCTGGCCCTGTCACTTGGGACAGCCAGAGACAGTTAAGACAGACATTGTTATAGCAGAGATGTTTTGTTCTGTTCAGAGATGTACAAAATTGTGCACACAGGTGAAGAGTAACCCAGAAATCATAAAACCATTAAAGAACTTTGAAAAAATGTCTATTTACCAGCTCCAAAACAAAAAATTAGAAGTCTACCAAGACTCTCCAGGACCTTCGGCAGACATGATCATGGAATACTACCGCTTCTAACAATGACATTTCCCCCCGTGCATGTTGTTATATACAACTTACTCTGACATTCTTGTGGCCAAGTTGTTTGAAGACTCCAGAGCCATAAGCAAAGGCGAGAGAGTAGCCTCTGGGGAGCCTGTGAAGGAGCCTGTGGTAGCCGCTGGCCATGGCGCCCGCACTGGTCCCTATACACCTATAAAGTAAATAAATAAATAAATGTTTATTCAGGTAAGGTACATACATACAAGAGATTTTACAAAAATTGATAGATTTATAGAGCTAGTACATACAATGCCTAAAGCCACTATTAACTAACCTCTAGAATATCTATACTTATATTACATACACACACATATGTTGTATATGTACATATGTGAGTGCCTTCACACTCAGAACGTATTTACTACAATAATTCAGTGCCAATAACTTGTTAATTTAAGTATTATAATGCCACTGATAATACAACAGAATGAAATAATATGCATAACAAATGCTATATCAAAATATCATTATTAATAACGAAACTATAAAATATAAAAAAAGAATATCTAATGTGTTATGTTAACACATATAATGGATTAATTTATAAATTTATTTCTTCATTTCTTGAAAATAATTTAATTTTATCGTTTATACAAGTGGAGATTAACGGGGCGTGAGCTAGGAGGAGGTCGCGTACCGGTGACCACTCGGCCAGGACCCTATACTGACTCAAGTTCAAGTTCAAGTATGTTTATTGAGACAAGAAAGAAATACATCTCAAAGGGATAGAGTAGCTTAGGCTAGTTGTACCTCCGTCTATCTATTGACTCTCTAGAAATAGAAATTGAAATTGAAATAAGGTAATTGAGGTAAATTACACACAAAGGAATGAGGTAGCTGAAGCTATTCTCACCCCGTTCAGTACATCGTGTTAATACATATATTAATACATACGTCTGCCCGTAATGCTTTGTGTAATAATGGCTTTAGACATTGTATGTATTAGTTCTATCTATAAATCTATCAATTTTTGTAAAATCTTTTGTATGTACCTTACCTGAATAAACATTTATTTTCAGATTCAGATTCAGATTCAGATGTTTATTCAGGTAAGGTATATACATACAAGTGATGTTACATTAATGGATTGATATATAGATAGAGCTAGTACATACAATGCCTAAAGCCACTATTACGCAATGCGTTTCGGGCAAGAAAAACATTAATATCTAGAACTTAATACTAATTGAGCATAAAGAATAAAAAGTGTTGAGAACAAATACAAATAAAGATAAAAAAAAGGGGGAACATGACTGAAAAAGCAGCACAAATACAATAGGTTGACAAACAGTGTTGATTAAAAAAAAAGAAAATAACGGACATGGGTTGACACTAGAGGAGTGAGGTAGGTTACAGGGAATTTATTAGGAAGTGTTTAGTTTTTATCTTAAACTGGTTGAGAGAGGTACAGTCTTTAACATGGTTGGGAAGGTCATTCCACATTCTGGGTCCCTTGATTTGTAGAGCATTTCTAGTTTGATTAAGTCTAACTCTTGGAATATCAAATAGGTATTTATTTCTGGTGTGGTGCTCATGGGTTCTGTTACAACCTTCTATGAAGCTTTTAAGGTCAGGATTGGCATTACAGTTCAATGTTTTATATATATAAAATACACATGAGAGGATGTGCAGTGACTTAACACTTTCGCGCTTTATATTAGAGATAACTCGTCACTGGTTTTTCTTACGATTCCGCATAACTGCCTACTTTTCTCGTCAATCGAAAAAATATTTCTATAAATTCTATTTTAACCGAAATGGATGGGGATACTTTTGTTTTGTAGAGAATTTATTTGCGAATTTTTTGGTACCAGAATGAATATTATATCACATAAACTTCTATGAGTAAAAAAAAAATACACAAAGTATGTTTGGGGGTGTGGCGGCCGTGTGACAGTGGGTTCCCTTTAGCCGTTGATATATCCAACACGTGGGAAATATTTGTATGTTTATGTATATGTCTGTGTAGGGAATTTTACTGCGATCACTGTCATACAAATTATAAAATGTTTCAACAAGTATAAACATGACAAACATCAAACGAACGAAAACAATGCGTTCGTTTCTGCCGCGAACGCATACTGAGCGACGTGGTTCTATATTTGGCGCTTCTCTTACACATGCTTTGTACCAATGTTATACAGTTCATCTTATAGGAAATTTTATTGCGAACACATTGGTATAAAAAAGAAATACGTACATAGAAAAGTAGGGTCAGGAAACGTATAAACTTTCCAAGCATGATTTCCCCCCTGTGTTTTCGCTAGTGCGCTCGCGGCTAACTACTCTCCACTTCACACACTCTTGCGGGTGGGCAAATACCTATATTAAACATTCATATGCATATGTCCGTGTAGAGAATTTTATTGCGATTCCAATGATACCAAAATTAGCGATGTAGGACAACTGTAGGCTTCGCAACCATTAAGAAAGTGGAAACATTTTGTTGCTGTTTGGCGCTCTCGGCGAGTGATCTGCATAGTTTTTTATTTGGTGTTGATACTCCTTATGCTTGGGCGGCATTTTATAGGTATGCTCTGATAGACAATTTCATTGCGAACACAGTGATACCAAATTTAAATACGTGCGAATTCAATTATTGTCAGGACAGTCAAAAGAGTGTACACTTTTTCGGTCTTACCGCATAGGCGCGCGAAGTGCCGAAAGCATCTGGGGTATTGTTTTTTTTTGAGCGCCGAGAGCGCGAAAGTGTTAATATCTAACATATTCCAAAATGTGAGTAGGGGTACCGAGTGATGTCTGGGGCCAGAGTTATATATTGTTTTAATAGCAGCTTTGTGTTGAGTAATTAGAGGACGTAAATGATTTTGGGTAGTAGAACCCCAAGCACAAATACCATAGTTGAAATATGAATAGATGAGGGAGTAATAAAGCGTCACCAGGGCAAGGTGAGGCATGTCACCTAAGTGTGGTTACAGGCTGAAGAGTTATACTTGTCGTGTCCCGTCTTCCCAGTACTCTTTATCGCCTTGAAGCTATTCTTCTCCAGCACTGATCAGCCAGGCTCCCAGCCCCTCTAGTTACTTCAGTAATTACCTAAGTGTAGTTTCAGGATGAGCTACGCTCATGGCGTCCAGTATTCCCAGGACTCTTTATCATATAATGCTTTGAAACTACTGATGGTTTTGGCGTCCACCACCTTCTCATTTAACCGTCTATCACTCTCTTTGCGAAAGTGAATTATCTTTTCTTTCTTCCACAGCTTTGTTTAGTTAGTGTAAATCTGTGACCTCTTCTTTTTGAAGTTCCAAATCTCTGGAATTCTTCCCTATCAATTTTGTGGTTCTAGTTACCAGGGCCGTCTTAACAGCATTATGTGCCCCTGGGCAAACCAGTGTGCTGGGGCCTCTATGACAACCACTCACAGGAATAAAAAGTAAATGGTCGCTAATATTAAACATACAGTATTTATTTTATTGGCACTTCTACAAAACTGGTGTTAAAACATTAAAAACATGCTGTAGAGCAGCAACAACTTCCTCCTGGTTCTCCATCTGGTGTTTCCTTCACTACAAGTCTTCCCTGCCTTCTGTGCCCCTCTTTGCCTTCTCAGCCCTCCCCTCTGCCTTTTGGTCCTCCTCACCACCTGTCTGTCCAGGTCATTGTCCATCCTTCTCCCAGCAATCTTCATGTTGACCGTTCCCATTCTTCTTCTCCTGTTAAGACTGTAGAGGCTGTCACCCAGTACATTGCTGCTGGTATGCCTGTCTGTCTCCGTCAGAAAAGTAAACCTGGCTCATCCCCCTTCTTCCTCCCTGGCGGGTAAGAAGGCTTCGCCCTATTCCTTACCTTCCGATTCTCTCCCTGCATCCCCTACCATTTCAGTGGCAGAGTCATCTATTCCAGCTATGGAGATTCCCTTGGTCCTTGATTCTCTCTCGGATGCTGCCCCAGATGAAGTGCACTCCCCTGTTGCTGTCCTTTCTTCCCCTGATTCACTTGACCCTCCTCTCCGATGCCTTCTTCCACTCCGGACTCTGTCAGTCCGCCTCTGGCCCATCATTCCGCTCCCTTAACTCCATCGACTTTGCTAGATTTACCTATGCCCCATAACCCCAATTTCACTGATCCTGATTCTAGTCTTACTTAGTATTCTGTGTTCATGATTGCCTTTGTTTCTCCCTTGTTCTTGGTTTCTGTTCTTTCTATTTTTGACAATGTCTATTCTTCAGTGTAATATTAGTGGATTTTATCATGTCTAAATCTTATGGATTTTACGTATGATAAATCTCCACCATTACGACTGATACTCCTTTGTCCCAGATCTGGAAGAAAATCCGTAAGATGGCGGGTAAGTTTGCTCCAGATGTCTCGCCAGTTCTTCACCTTCGTGGTTCTATTGTGTTGGATCCGATGTCGGTTGCGACCGAACTGGGTTCCCACTTTTCGACTGTTTGCTCTGGTTCTCATCTTCCTCCATCTTTCCTTACTCGTAAGCCCCTTCTTGAATCTTGTCTCTTAGGTTTTTGCACACATCTCCAGCTTCCCTAAATCGATCCCTGGTCTCTCAGAACTCCAGTCTTCCCCTAACCCTCTGCGGTTCTATAGCAGCAGGCTCATTTGATATTCATTATGAGATGCTTTGCCATCTCCCTCCATGCATGTTTCAGTACTTACGTACTGAAACATGGAAAGTATGGGATTTCCGCCCCATTGCTCTCACGAGTTGCGTCTGCAAACTCAGAAAGTATGGTCAATGTTCGTCTGATGTGGTTCTTGGAACACTATCAACATCTCACCCTTTCTCAATTTGACTTTCGCAAGTGTCGCAACATGACTGATGCCTTGGTGAACTTGGTCTGTATTTGTACTGCCTTTGCTGCGAAGACCTGTGTTGTTACTGTTCTTTATGGCGTGGAAAAGGCATATGACACCACCTGGAGATACCATATTATGTACCAACTCTGTTCTTTTGGCCTTCATGGTAATCTCCCTCTCTTCTGCCAAAGCTTTCTCTCTAGTTGTTCCTTTAGAGTGAGACTTGGTACCACTCTCTCTCTTTCTTTTCAGCAATATGAAGATGTACTCAAAGGTTAGTGTTCTGAGTACTACTCTTCCTGGTTTTCCTCAATGGTCTTCTTTCCTCCCTTCTCCCTGGCATTTTTCTCATCTCTCTGTTGACGATCTTACCCTTGGCTGTCGAGGTGATGACTCGCTTTTCCTTCAATGGCGGCTTCAACTTGCAATTAATGCCGTGTCGTCCTGGCCACCAATCATAGCTTCAAGTTTTCTACAACTAAAACTTGTGCTGTGACTTTAACTTGAAAGCAAGTCATTCCTCGTCCCCCTTTGTTTCTTTATAGTAATCCCCTCTTGTACAAAGATTTTGCTAAACTTTTGGGGTTAATCTTTGACATTGTCTTGGTTGCCCCATATCTCTTACCTCCGCATTAAATGCTCTAAGGCCCTAAACTTAACACTTTCGCCCGGGCATGACACAGCATTGCGTCATCCATTTGCTGTCGGTAATGACGGGCATGACGCAACATTGCGTCATCCACTTTAAATAATCGCCAAAAATCAGGTTTTTATCCGATTTTTTGGGGACTGGTTTTAAAATGCACGCCGATGTCTTCCCATTTTCTTTGTTGCGCCTCGTGGCCCACAGGCGGCTCGGCACACGCCGTCGGCCCATTGTTTTCGCTCCACTGTTGTGACCGGTGT